ACCCTCAACCCTACCAAACCCTAAAGCTCAAACTTCAAACCCTAAAGCCCAAACCCCGAACCCTCAACCCTACCAAACCCTAAAGCTCAAACTCCAAACCCTAAAGCCCGAATCCCAAACCCCAAACCCTAAAGCCCAAATCCCAAAGCAGACCTCCCCACCAACTCCCCCCTAAACCCTAAACCCTAAACCCTAAACCCTAAACCCTAAACCCTTGTAAGTCCCCCCTAGAGGCCCTAGCGGATATCCAGCCTCCATGTCTCCACCAAAGCTGGCACTTTTGGCCCACTCCTGAAAGGCTTTTGGGTTTAGGGTTTAGGGTTTGGGGTTTGGGGTTTGGAGTTTTAGGGTTCGGGTTTAGGGTTTAGGGTTTAGGGTTTAGGGTTTAGGGCTTAGGGTTTAGGGTTTAGGGTTTAGAGTTTACGGTTTAGGGTTTAGGGTTCAGGGTGTTGGGGTTTAGGATTTTAGGGTTTAGGGTTCAGGGTTGAGGGTTTAGGGTTTAGGGTTTTAGTAAGTAAAGTTCCAAGTACAATAAGCAATTATAAGAACACTTACCCTGATATTAATAGTCCTAGTTGAAGCCTTTCACGCAGCCTTGAACGAAGCCTTTAAGGAAGTCTTCAAGGAAGCCTTCAAGGAAGCCTTTAAGGAAGCCTCTAAGGAAGCCTTTGAGGAAGCCTCTAAGGAAGCCTTTGAGGAAGCCTTTAAGGAAGCCTCTAAGGAAGCCTTTAAGGACCCTGAACCCTAAACCCTACACCCTAAACCCCGAACCCTAAACCCTGAAACCCTAAACTCTATACCCTAAACCCTAAACCCTAAACCCTAAACCCTAAACCCTAAACCCTAAACTCTATACCCTATACCCTATACCATTCCCCAAAACGAAGCCCCTTGAGCTCCTGTGTCCACTGGCGAAGGCCCGAGCTCGCCTTTGGCGAAGCTGCGAGCAGCTGATTCACCAGCCCGGACAAAGCCTCAAAGCTTAGGGTTTTAGGGTTTGGGGTTTAGGGTTTAGGGTTTAAGGCTCAGGGTTTAGGGTTCGGGGTTCAGGGTTCAGGGTTTAGGGTTTAGGGCCTCACATAGAGCTCTGGGGCTTCCATAGGGTTCACTTAAGGGTTCCATTAAGGTTCCTCTGAAGGAGTTTAGGGTTTTAGGTTCAGGGTTTAGTATCCGACGCCTGAAAACTTGAAAAACTCCACCTCACAACAGTCCTTTCTGTAGGATTTAGGGTCCATTTAAGGGTTTCAGGTTTTACGGCTCAGGGCTTTGGGCTTAGAATGGTTTAGGGGGTTCATAGGAACTTCCGTGGCACGACGTGGCTTTCTCGCAGTGTTGTGCACCCTGGTCAAATCTATCATCGCGAGAGGGTCAAGACTATAAATGAAGGTTGACATGAGGATCGTAGTATAGAGATTAGAAGAAGACGGCTAGTAGAAATAACACAAAGCATGAGGAAACAGCTGCAATGATGGAACCACGGTTTACGAAAACAACCCTGTAAAGAATGTGAAACCCCAAACCCTGACCCCTAAACCCTAAAACCTACATCTGGAGCTGTCCAAACCTAAAGGCACAAAGCAATCGGCTTTAGTCACTACACCCGAAACCCTCAACAACCCAGGGAGAGGGCCTCCTTCTTCGGGCGTATAGGTTCATTGAGGGTTTACTCGTAGGATCATTGGACTTCGTAACTGTGGTTATTTTTGGTAGGGCAATTACACTTATAATTGCTGATAGTCCCAATTAAGGAACTTTAAACCTGGCCTACTAAGTCCCATGATCCTTCCAGCAGTAGGGTTTAGGATTTACGCAACACCGGCATAGCGCTAACCGGTTGGGGTCAGGCACGTCCTACGACTCGCCCTCTTCGTCTCACAGAGCCTCTTCGAGACGCTTGTTCATTCCTTCTGCCTCGCTTCGATCAAATCGTCGAAGAGCTTGATGTTGAGCGCTCCCAAGTTCTCATTGAGGTTGCTCTCGATGGGCCCTGGCGAGCTGTAATGTCAGGGCATACTCGCCGGAAGAGCTTCTTGTTCTGTTCTTCCCTGACAAAGCACGTCTCGATGACGTGTTCTGTCCCGATCTCGATCCGCATCATTGCCTAAACCCTAAACCCTAAACCCTAAACCCAAGAACTTGCGAGGCATCAGTTGCCACACGGGCGCCGCAGTGGCTCACGACTGGCCGGCGCTGGATGAGCAGGCATCGGTTTAGGGTTTAGGTTTTAGGGTTTAGGGTTTAGGGTTTAGGGTTTAGGGTCGCTTTAATGCCAGGCAGAGACAACCCTCAAACACCGGAAGCCCTAAACATCCCAGGGTTGCAGGTTTAGGGGTTCAGGGTTAAGGGTTTTAGCGTTTAGGGCTTGAGGGTTTAAGGGTTTAGAGATAGGTTTATGTAAAACTCGCAAACACCTAAGACCCTAAACCCTGAACCCTAAACCCGAAGACCCTAAACCCTAAACCCCAAACCCTAAAACCCTAAAACCCTAAACCCTAAGACCCTAGAACCCTAATGCTTCACGCCCCGAAACGAACCTGAACTCCTAACCGGAAGCTGCTGTCCCAAACATCTCAGACACTTCAACACCTGAACTCCTAAACCTCTGCAAAACCGGGTTTAGGGTTTCGGGTTTAGGGTTTAGGGTCTGGGGTGTAGGGTGTAGGGTCTGGGTTTACGTTTTAGGGTTTAGGGTTTAGGGTTTAGGTTCTACGGCTTAGGGCTTAGGATTCAAGGTTTCACCCCTCAAAGGACACCCAAAGTTCGATGCTAAGCCCCAAACCCTGAACCCCAAGCCCTGAACTTCACCCTAACCCCCACCCCTAAACACCAGCCCCAAACTCCAAACCCCAAACCCCAAATTTCAACCCTCTAAACCCTGAACCCATACATAACCCCTTATGGATCCCCTAAGAGAACCCGAATCCCTTAAAGGGCCCTAAACCCTAAACCCTAAAGCTTAAACCCTAAAGCCTAAACCCTGAACCCGAAACCCTAGACCCTGAACCCTAAACCCTAAACCCTAAACCCTGAACCCTAGACCCTAAGCCCTAAACCCTGAACTTAAACCCACAAGCCTAAACCCACAACCCTAAACCCA